TTAAGTTTATAGTTTAAATTTATTTTATATTCTAATAAATTATTGCAAAAAAAGCAAAAATTAAGTGTAAAAAAAATTGAAAACTTTGAAAATTGATCTAAATAACCTAATACCTAAATTCAATCATTTATTAACATTTAATTTTACGCTTAATCTTTCCTCACTTTTGGTTTACATTTTAAGATTATTATCTTACTATTCCAACCCTTTTCAGAAATACTTTACCAATCTAATATCTGATATTGGAATATCAGATAACTTACAATGATTACATCATATGATTGTGTAAATTCAAAAGTATTTTTCTCACGTGACTTTTTTTTTTTTCATACAAAAATATTATATTTCTTAAAGTTAGTTAACATAACAGAAGAAACTATTCTGCTTAGTGATCATGATAACGAAGAAGAATCATCTAATTAACTTACTCTTAAACCTTCTAATAAACGCTCAAAAAACAAAAATCATCAGAACACATTCCCAAAAATATAAGAACACTTAAAAAAACACATAAATATAAAAGCTGGACGTGGAAATGGTGGAACCTGTATTACTTGATAATGGAAATACTGGTGCAAAATGTTTAGTTAAAATAACAGATGAAAAACTTTACAGAAAGCTCTATTTAAATGGAAACTTAACAAGTAATCTAATCATGCATCTTGCTAGATCACATCTAATTACTGAAAATACAGATATAAAAGAAAAATCAGTAAGTTAATATTTTTGCTTTTATAACAGTAACAAGTAATATAAAACATATTAAAATTTTTCAAAAAATAGATCTAAACTACTCTTACCAATAAAATAAGATCACATAAAGAAGCCAAGTAAATATAACTTCGGCAATTTCTTGTTAATTGGATTCTTGCTGATTCAATACCACTTAAACTTGTTCAGAGTGAAATGTTTAGGGGTTTTTACATGATTTGGATCCCGGCTTTATTATATCTGATGTAAATTAATGAAATAAATTATTCATTACGCATATAATCATACATTTACCTTGATTATTCAATATATTAAAGATCACGCAATTTCAGTTAACTTAACTACTGATCTTTGGACTGCTCAAAACTGGTAAAGCTACATTGGAATTACATGCTATTTTTTAGATAAAATTTTTCAATTACATGAACTTGTTCTCACAGTTATATATATTTGATATCCACATATAGCAGATCATATTAGTGATACCCAATTTGAATTATTAGATCAATAGATGTTAAGAAATATTACCTGGCAACCTTGCATTACATATACATTACAACTGGTTATAGGAAAAGGGCTAGCATGTGTAAAATTGCTTGTATTAAGAGCCAAATGATTAATTGATTTCTTCATAAGGCCTAAACAATCAGAAAGGATAGAAAATATTCAAATAAATATTGAAAGTCGGCTGATATAGCATGTATTTCAAAAACATTGAATTTTTTAAAAAATAAAAATAACTATTACTAAATTATTTTAGAATCCTGGAAAAATAAGCACATACCTGTGTCATTATATTGCAGATGTTACTACCTAATAGAATTCAAATTTTTTGACCTGAAAAGATTTTTAGAAATTAAGCCATATATTAATATTCTTATAACAACTTTACCAATTTCTAATGATATAGATTCAAGAAAAGATGGCCAATGACTTTCTGAAATTATGCTAACTAAAAATGAATGGAAGTTGCTAGAAGACTTGTATGTAATTTTGAAAGAATTTGCTGAAGCCACAACTTATTTAGGTGCAAGTAAATATGTGACTCATAGTATTATGAGTTCATTATTAAAAGAAATTAAAAAACGCATAAAACCAAAAAATATAAGATCTCAATATGTAAATATGGAAGTTATTGCTGATGTCTTTGCAGAGGAAGAAGAAGAAGAGAAAGCTGAATGTGAAAATATAAAAAATGCATTAAAAAAAAGGCTAAACCTGAATGAACTATTTAATACTACTGGAATGTTAAAAAAAGTAAAACTTAATTTGTATAATACAATGGAATTATATTGAAACAAAGAAGAAGAAGAGACACTTATTTCAGCATTACTTGATCCTAGATAAGTCTCTTGAATTTATTGATGATGATGAAGTTCGCAATAAAACAAAGGATTTATTAAAAAACAAATATGATCAATTTAAAGCTAATCCTTTAATAATACCTGCCGCTCCTTTAACATTATTATCTAACCAATCCTCTCTATTTTCAATTTTTAAATAAAAAATCATACAAGATAATGAAATAACTACTTACTTATCTTTATCTGAATTGGATTTTGATTCAAATCCTTTTAATTGGAAGCATAATCACAGAGAACAATTTCCAATTTTTTCAAAATTAGCCAGAATTTACCTTTCTATTTCAGCTACTTCTACTCCAAGTGAAAGGTTATTTAGTGATACCAGAAATTTATTGATAGCAAAAAGAACACGTTTAAATTCTGAACTGTTTAATAGGCTTATATTCTTAAGAAAAATGCATCATTTGTTAAAAGTATTAATCCTTCTCCAAAAAAATTGTAAATTTGATTTATACTTTTTTATAACCAATATAATTATAATAAAATGAAACTATAAATAAAAACTAAATATAAAATATTAAGTTGAAATAAAATGTCAAGCCATGAATTGTAAAAATAATTTTATTATTGTAGACAGTAAGAACTTTTTATAAAAAAAAAGGAGAAATTCACGAATGATTTATGGATATGCAAATATTATGAATTATCAATTATCTGTGATCTGTTGATCATTTACAAATATTTAGCACATAATTTGTGAATCATTTATTCAGATTTCTGCAGATATATAATAACCATTTGGATTATTTTTTATCTAGCGAATGATTAATTTACATCCACAAATTATCTGGATCGCTTCACTAATAGAGCTGAAATAATACTAAATTACACACAATATAACAAATAACTATTGATTTTTGTAATTTAAGCCTAATTTTTGCTAAATCACATGACCGAATCAGCTGAATGTCAACTGAAAGTTATTAGTGCTGAAAGAAATAACTTCGACTAGTGATACATAATTGTACATTTTTTTCTTTTTACATTCTGCAATAAATGCATCAATAACTTTAAATCAAAGTGATCAGCTTTAAGGCTAAAAGTCTTCTGATAATATATAAAACCAATAGTTATTTTTTTCCATTCTTTTAAAAGGTTACAAGATAAAAATTTTTCTTCAATTTGGCCAAATGTACTTAGATTATCAAGTTATAAGGAATATCAATAATATCAATAGCTCTATCTAGTTTCTTTCATGGTTGTTTAAATTTATCAAAACAACTAATGTAATATAATCTAAATAAAAAAAATTTAATTAGTAAATTAAAAATAATAAAATAATAAATATAAAATTAATAAAAAAAATTAATATTTACTTAACATAATCTCTTTAGAAATTGATATAGATACATGATTTGATATACTCAAAGTTGGTAAATTTAATGAGACGTCATAGTAGTTGTTAAGTCAATATAATACTCATCTTTAGAAATTAAGCTTGAAACTTTCGTAGTATATTTTTAAGTAGGCTGCTTGTTTTTATAACTTATTTTTGATACAAATAAAATTAATAAAAGACAGTTTATACTTAAACATAGTATAAAACGTACTTTTACTGTTGCTAAGCTTGTTATGATATTTACTTAACAACTTTGACAAATGTTTATATTATTATGAAATAATGAAGGTTCAATCTGTGAAGAAACTTTAGCAAGAAACCAAACAACAAATTTTAAATCTAGTATAACTTTTTATTTTATAGTATCTTGTTGTGTAATAAGTTTCTGACAAAAATCTACTATATAGTCATGATCAATTTTTTTTCTATTCTACTACTCTTGCTTTTGACAAGTGCATTTTTAATCACATATGTTTTATAATCCAAACAAGTAAGACAAATTGGACAAGCATTCAAACGAAATTTTAAGAAAGTGTCTATTACGTATCGGTATGCAATTATGTAATATTATACAGTAAAAAAAGTACCAGCTTATTATTCAAGTTCATTTTAATATAATGCATCAAAATTCGCCTGATATTATGTATTTATTATTTTATTATTATTTTTTGATAACCCTGAGTTGCTGAGTTGTCAGATTATCAGAAAATACTTAGTAAAAAATTTGTTGAGTGTTCTGTAACTTATGAAAATAGCTGTAATCAAAATAAATCATTAATTATCAATACTTTTATAATTTTAATTACAAAGTAACCTATTATTTATATTTATATTATTAAATCACTTATATAACTTATAAGTAACTTAAAAAATTAGTTATAATATTAATAATATACTTAATTATTTAGTAAATAAATTATAATAATTTAATTAATAATTGAATTTAAAATTGAATGTAAATAATATTTTTAAAACAAATTTATATATATATATTTTTTTTAAATAAAATATTATATATATAAATACTGATATTTAATATTTTAATATATTTTTTTTATAATTAAAAATTTTTTAAATAATATTATATATTAATAATAGCAAATTGTTATAATAAAGAATTATGAGTTATTATGTTAAATTTTGCATTATAATTTATCTATTAAATAATTATAAAATTATAATAATTAAGATATTTTGATATCTAGTGATCATAAAAAGATAAAATTTAACTTATTAGATTCATTTAATTATAATGCATCTAATAAAACTATAATTATATTTCTAACATAATAAATCAAATTATATTATTTTAAAATAATTTTTATTTAATAATTACAGGTAATATAATTTAATTTATTAGATTCTTCTCATAAAAAAGTAATATTCTCATATTTTTTAAGATTTGAATAAATAGATTATTTTAATAATAATTATTACTTATTTATTCTTAATAATATTATTAACTTATAGCATTTTTTTTGGATTTTGCTTACAGCTAATTTCATAATTCGTGAATCATGAATAAATTGCAACTGAATATGACTGGAAATATTTTATAATAAAATTACTGTAAAATATTGCAACTAAATATGACTGAAAAATTATTAATGATCCATGAATTATGAAATTAGCTGTATAATATATCATAAAATTTACTATAAAATTTATAAAATTATTATTATATTAAGAAAATATTTTAAAAATATTTTAAAATGATTTTAATTATAAAGTAAAATTGCTTTTAAATTTAGAAGTAAAACTATTAAAAGGATAGATTTAAAAAAATCAGATATATTCTTACAGCTAATTTCATAATTTATAGACCCATTAATAATTTTTCAGTCACATTCAATCACAATATTTTATAGTAATTTTATTATAAAATATTTTCAGTTGCATTCAGTCACAATTTATTAGTGATCCACAAATTATGAAATTAGTTGTAAATATTAAATTTATTTAAACAGAAAAATATTTTACAATTCCATTTAGATAATTGTATTTTTAAAAAAATGGATGGTTATTCTGAAGCATAAATAAAAATTTTTTGTTAATTTTTAAATGCTAAGAATCTAATAAATTCTGATTGGCTGATTTTTTAATGTAAATTAAATTATGTAATCAAGGATAAGTCGATTTTTTCACGTGGAGAATGTTTAATTGAAATCTTTAAATCATATGTTTGGTGTTATTAATGATAAAAGATGTATTAATTAATAGGATTTTTTTTTTTTTTAAAAAAGGAAAATCTTTTGCCAATTTTAACCAATTTTAAATTGAGGGGAGAAAAAAATGAAAAAAATTATTTTACAAGAATTAGATAAATGTTCCGTTTAGATATAATATGCGAAAATTTCTTTAGCTCGTAAATTCGATATGTTTAAAGACAACAGGATTATGATCGAATATTTTTTCATCTTGCAGATTTTTCAACATAAACTTGAATAACTTTTCTTAAATTCGTTATAAATCCAGTATCATTATCAACTAGCTGTATTAATTCAATGAAATGTAATGCCTCTTTTGTTGATATAAAATGCAATGCTACTGATTCACTCGTGCATGGATTTATTGGACTAAATTATAATTTACTATAAGCAATTTTTTTTTTTCGTAATGATATTTTTAAAAAAGTTTTTACTTACCTAATTCTGACATTATTATCTAAGCAAATTAAATCGGAATCAGAGGTTTCGAATTCCCAATTTTTTCTTAAAAATTCTGTTTCATCCATGAATGGATCTTCTAAAGGTTTTATGTCCTCATGATTATTTTCAATTAAAGTTATATACGTTTCAGTACTTGATAAAGTTTTATTTGATAGTTGTGATTGAATTTTTAGTGACCTACTTTAAAAATAAACAAGCGATGTTTAAATTTTAAGTAATTTCGATTAATATTTAGGCCGAGTATAAATTTAACTCACTTTTCATTAGATCTTTTTTTGTTTGGAACCATAATTGTAAAACTTCTAGAATGGCTTGATTTATTCACTATAAATGCATTTACGATAAATACTTGACCTACCACAGGGTTACCGTCAACTAAGGGAAAGATAAATAAATCAGTTAACACTTTAAACTTTTATTTTTGATCCTCAGAGTTTACTACTTACCTACAAAAGAGACAACAACGTCATCACAAACATTCGCATTATTGCTCTGTTTCTGTAAAATTGGTAATCTTCCATTAGATAAAATTCCATTAATTCCATCAACATCAAAAGATTTATGTTTTAAAATGGGCGAATCATTCATAATGCTGTGAGGAGTTTTGGGTAAATAAAGTGAACTTCTTGTACTTAAAGTTGATGGAGTTTTCATTCCTCCTAAATAAGATGAAGCCGTTAAATCATCGGATTTTAATAAAGTTGGTAAATCTAAAGTGCAGTTCCATTTTGATTCTATAAACGGTGATTTAACTCCGTCAATCATTGGACATCCTTTTATTGTTATTGAAAGAGATCGTTGTTTATTTTCAACTGGTGACGCGTTTAATGAATGAATTGATGCGATTGAATCACTTTTTGATGATTTTAAATGTGAAGGTGTTGGACAAAGTTGTGTGGCGTTTGTAGGTTTTGGGAATGAAGGATCTTCCAAAATTGTTATACTATACAAGAAAGTTGCTTGATCTATTGGTTGTAATGAAATCGGAAACTTATCCTAAAAAGGAAAGAAAAAAAGATAATGGCGTCAGTTGGCGCTGTTATGACATGATTAACAATCGCGTGAGAAAATTATACAAACATTGGAAAATCCCCAAGTATATCTGGTGACAATACCATGGGTAACTTCGACTTTGACATCATCAATAGTGAAAACACTATTGTTTTCAATATTGTTTTCTAATTCAATGGACATCATTAGGGAATTTTCCAATGGCGAGATGCTTGTTGTTCTCATACGAACATTTAATGCTGATTTTACCGAAAGTACTTTACGTGAGCACCTTTTAATATATGTTGAAGGTAATGCAGAATAAATGCTTGTTCGTTTTGTCGATGTTGCTGAAATTGAACATGACGTATTCAACGATTCAAATGCCGGGTCTAACAAAAGTTAAGAAAGGAAAGGTAAATTAATTATCCCATTTTTTTAGGACGAAATTTTGTTGAATTAATTTACCATCATTTAAGCCTTCTAGCAAGTTGATACCAAAATTTTCCATGGAATACAAATCTGAATCAACGATTTCTCTAGAAACCGGGATTTGTGTAACGGTAATGTTTAATGCAATCGCGGGACTTTGAACACACGATTTTGCATAAACTTTTTTTTAAAAAAAAGTTAAAAAAGTAAATAAATCATGGAAAACCATAAAACTTTCCTTTAAATATTACTTACCCACAGGTGAAGATAAAGGCAAAACGCAAATCCAACAATCATTTCTTTCAACTACCACCATTTTATTATTATTTTTTTTCTTTGAATTGCATTGAGCAGAATAAATAATAATTCCATCGGTAACTTTACCAGAAATTTTTTTATCACACGTAGAATTTGAACTGTAAATACTTATAGGAGTACCAGGTACAGAAGGAGATGTAGCATCTGAATTTGATCTCGATCTTGTATCATACCCACTAACAGAGGATAATGGTGAAGGATTAAGATAAACCAATTGTGATGAATAATTTGTAGTACCGGTTAAGGTTGTTTCTAACGTAACGTCGAGTTTTTTAAAGAAATTAATTGCTTCATCTTTATTCGCGAGATTTGATTCGGGTGGTAGAGTTATTATCAAATAAAAATGGAGGATTTCATCTATAAAGTATTGAAAGATCGTTAAAAAATTTTTTTTTTAAAAATAAAAAGAAACCTTCTTTACCATAATAAGTTTGAGTTCTTTGTTGAGCGAAAATGACATCATCGATCTTTTCTTCATTGCATATTAATGTGTCATTTGGTACGACGATATCCAATTCAGCATCATGAATAAAGGTTTCTCTTGAGAACATCATTTTAATTTACATAAAAAAACTAAATTAAATTCTGTCCGTAATAAACAAACGTGTGTATATATATAAAAAAAAAAAAAAAATCAAAAGAATTTCTTTGTTTTATTTATCAACATCATGATCTTTTGTTTAGTATAAAAATAACTTACATAAAAAATTTGCACGTGCCACAATGAAAAACAGGAAAGTTTATATTTTTCTTTTTACTATTAACGAGAACTTTTAAATATATTACAGCCGATACTAATAAAGGTACTACAATATAGTATTTATTATTCTAAAATCGAAGAGAGATCATTGTTACATAAAAGGAAGATAAAATAAGGATATATGTGGAGTGATGCTTCTTGAAAAACTTTTCAAAATAAAAAAGTGAAGAATAAAATAAGATTTTCGTTGGCGTATTGACCTATTTTGTTGTGTGTTTCGACCAAGTAGTGTTTTTTTCAGTTAGTAATGCCTTAGCTTAGCATATAATGACGGGAGAAACCTTGTTTATGGCGGGTATTTTAATATGACCTTTTTGATGAATATGAGATAGATTTTCATTCCCTTGAAGATGAATATATGGATAGATTAATAAGTTTCTTTTTGGAAATATTTTCTTTTCTAAATGTTGGTTTGCATTATGTATGTATCAATGGCGCAGTTTATTTGCATTTTTTCACTCCCAATTTAAGGATTTCACGTTTTGATTTTATTATTACATCATGTTAATATAAATTATGTGTAACATCTCATTGCAATAGCCACGTTTGGTAAATTTGGACATCATTTCTCAAAAATATATAAATATAGTATTTATAAATAAAATGCAGTAGATATTTAATGCATAAAAACGTTCTTACAAGATATAAAATAAATGATCAAGTTTGATTAATTTGATCGAGTATTATTATTATTCATTGGAGGTTGTCTAACTCCAACAGAAGGATGATAAGGCATTGGTGGAGGTCTTACCAATGCCATTGCCTGTATACCGGGAGGGGGTCTTATCTGAGGTAATCCAATTCCGTGATGATTGTTTATTTGTGTCTGTGTACTTTGCCTGATTTATTTATATTTTAATGATTCAAGTAAAAAAAAATTTTTTTTGTTAACCAAATGATTCTCAACGGACAAAATCACAAATTACAGTAATCGATTTTTTTTATTATTTTATTTTTTTCTTACTTGTTTAGTTTAGCTTTTTGAATCTTAAAATGATTAGATAAAACTTCAGACATAATCTGATTATAGCAAGTATAATCATTAGGATTCGCCAAAACATCTTTAAATCCTTTAGAGTTACAAACAGCTTCAAAATTTTCAGCCATAAATGAAAGGATAGGTTCTTTTAAATCTTCGTATTTTGGTACTAAACGAAACATGATTTCTGCCGCATTATCTATGGTTAATTCTTCAAATATTCTGTTCTTTGCTCTTTGGCACAAATCTGTTAATAAATATCTATCTGCTATGCAATAAATTTCTATTGTGAAAGAAATATTATTGTCTTCAATGGTATTGTTGTCGGAAGTGGCCCAATCAATATGATTTGTGTAAAGGTATGATAACAATTTTGCAAAAGATAATGGTTTATAATCTGATATATTAATTCGATGTTTAATTTGATACTTTAATTTTTCTTCATTAGATTCGGAATCACTTTTACTCTCAATTATATGATCAAAATCTTCGTCAGATTCACTTTGGCGATCAACTGTTGATTCAGCCCATATACCCGATAGAGCATTTTCAAAATATTTTGATCTTTGAATAAGTATTGAACTACAAGCATAAAATTTTTCTCCTTGTACATTAAATTCCACATCAACAGGTTGAATATTGAATAATTGATTCTTCCATGCTTCTACAAGATTTTCTGGAAGTGGATCAAGTGAAACGTTATTATTATTATATTGTTTATTATCTTTATATTCAATATTATCAAATGTTACACTAATGATTAACTCTCCATTATATATTGAGGTTCGTTCGAATGCCTCCGGATAACCATAACCTAAAAAAAAAAAAAAATTATTTTAAAATTATTTTTTTTTTCCTTACAAAATAATGATAATAATAATAAACAAACCATTTTCGATTTTAGTGTTAGGAGAAATGGATAACTCATTATTACTTGAAATTAAATTATAAGTTTGAAAATTTTTAATTTCTTTGACAAATAATTTAATAGAATATTTTGATCGTTTTCTCCAAGAAGTTTCATCGGGATTTGCCACTGGTAAGATATATATTGAGCAATATTCTTTATTGTTCACAGGATTTTTAATTAATGGTACAAACCATAATTGCCATAACATATTATCTCCTGTACTAAATATGGGACTATATATATCTTCCTTTATTTCAAGTGAATTTGATATACTCATTTGGTAGGTTAATTGCGTTATTTTATTACCGGTCATTTTTCTTTTTTTCTTTTTTTAAGGAAAATAAAAAAAAATTGAAATTGGAAAATTTTATTGCACTTTTATAACAAAATGGTCGTGTAACGCTTATTATTTATATTATTATAAAGATTCCCACAATCACATTTTTTTTTTTGCTGCGTCAATTAAATAATAAATTTCATTACCTTTTATTTCGGTGTGTAATTTCAAACTAATTCAGGCACAAAAGATTATTTTTGATCCTTGCAAAGTAGTGACAATGCTATTTATCAAACCTAGTTTGCGAAACAAAGGTCCGAATGGTCCGAATGATCGTTTAAGAATTAAAAATAACAATCAATCGAAAATCACAAGATCAAGTGATTCGTTAATATTTAATATTATTATTTTGATTTAATATCCCTGAAATGATCATTTGATCATTTGTTTATGCAAATCTTCGCTTGTTATTTTTTCGTTCCCAAGACTATTGAAATCATAAAATTATTATTTGACAAAGTATTTGATTGTCAAATTAATACCTAAACACGTATTCTTTGTTCCTCCATAAGCACGTAATACAAGGCATAGTTTTATTATAACATAAAAGCCTAATTTAGTGCGAATCTGCTTGTTTAACATAACTTTCTGCGCCTTACTTTCGAACCCGTCCACGGCGGATACTCGCATCATTTTTTTTAATTTTTGGGTAAGAAATCATGTCCAAGAACGGCAGATTTTCGTCAGAGAATCAGTGAGTGGAACTAAGAAAATTGCAATGGAGACGGATCATTTGGACTTGGATTATTTGCAATTCTAGACATACATTTTCTGTAAGTAGGGTTTATGTCATGTAGTGCATCATATGAGTAAAGCATCCATATGAATTCAAGATTTTCATATTCATTACATTGAAATTGTTTTTCTTGGCGTAAAAGAGAAAAGGTGCGGGAAATATACCTTCCTCGCCTTAATTTATTCCGCGAAATAATTTTCCATCTGTATACACAAGTGCTTCACCATAAATTTGATGGATGCCGATGCAATGAGACTTAATTACTTATAATATATATATATATATATATTTGGGAATTTCTTTTTATTGGTTAATATTACAAGGTTTGTGAAGAATGAAGAAAATTGAGTAATAAATTTGAATAAAGGGGTTGCGATTAGGTTTTCAATTTATATTTTGTATTTATGAATATAAAATATTGTCCTTCATCAGCTTCTATTTAAAACCTTTTATTTATAAAAAAAAAAAATAATCTAAATTCAAAAAATCACTTTTATTTCATCAAAGTCTTCTTTTTTTTTTTTTTATAAATTGTTCAGTAATAGAATGTGAAAATTTTCAAGATTATTTGTACAAACTGACATTTGTTGATATTCGCGGATAAACCTAATCTATTTAAATGAGAAGCCATTTTAAAAAAAAAAATTGAAAAATGTGGTTGGAATATGAAGTACCCCAAATTATCGCGGTGGCAAATTTCGAAAACGTTTTGTACATTTTGAATTGGGAATATTTAACAGGAACTTTGTTCGATTTTGAAATTTTATGTACATTAAATTGAAATAGCTGTATGTTCAACTATGGAGCAAAATGCAAAATAAAAGTAAAGTCAAAAAAATGTATTTACGCGTATCGCCAAACTACGCTTTTTAGATTAAAAAAGTTTTTGTTTGAACTTTATAATGATGTTTTAAATCTCTATGGCATAAATATTTGGGGTGGGGTAAATGTAACGAACAAAACTTTAGGTGCAACTTTTTTTTAAAGTAAATTATATGCAATCATTTACGTCGACCGAAAAATCATAATTCCGGCCACCATTATAACGTCGGATCATCAGATAATCATGCATTTATAATTTTTGGAGGGAAAAATTTTTTTTTCATATTATTATTATTATGGATTTAAGTGCGTCGGAAGAAGTTCAAGTTAGTTATCTTAATTCTATTCTTCGAAAAGTGAATTCCACTGAAGAAAATTTTAAAGAAACATTTGTCAAGTCACCAGAGTATATTGAGCTTTTATCACAATTTGGTAATAGTAAATCTCGTAAGATAATTTCACTATCATTATTATTATTAACAAAATTATTAGAAAATAATCAAATAAAAGAATTAAAGGAAATTACAACGAAACAAATATTAAAATGGATAAACGAATCAACAAAGCAACAAGAAAAATTAAACGGTATTAAAGCATTATCAGCGATATTTAATATCGGAGGAAATGATATAGGAAGGTGTTGTTTAGATAAAGATGATGATGAAGGAGGAACCTTAAAAGATTTAATGGAATTTATTGAATTTGATAAAGAAGTAGTGCAAGAATCAATTATAGAAATGTTATCGATAGCTTGTTCACAAAAACAATGTAGAGATTTAATTAAATTAAATTGTCAAGAATATTTAAATAAATTAATGAAAAGTAAAAATTTAAAGTTTAAAAGTTTGGCGGCCATTACATTAACGAAATTAATGCTGGATGATAAAACGGTTTTACCTGGTGAAGAGAAACAAGAAAAGATTAAGATTATTGATGAAAATGATGATGAAAATGAATTGGCAGGATTATTTCAAAATTTAGTATTAGATAAAGGATCAGATGTTGACGTTAAGGCAAATGCTATTGAAGGATTGGCTTACGCTAGTTTAAAACCTACAGTTAAAGAAACGATCACATATCATCCTACTTTACTAAAAGAAATTTTTAAGCTTGTTAAAGAACAAGAAAAATCAAATAATAATTTATCATATGGGGTGACCGTGATTTTATCAAACATCACATCATATAAGAAGAAATTAAGTAAAGATGATCAACATCTATTAAAATTAAAGAAAATGGCTGAAGGTGGAGTTAGGAAAGGTGAAAATGAAAAACTTGAAACAAATCCTTTGGATGAGGATGAATACGTTGAGAATAGAATCAAACAGATAATGAAATTAGGAGGAATTCAATCATTAATTTTATTATCAAGAAATCAAAGTCAAATCATACGTCAATTAGTTTCATTGAATTTTTTGAATCTAGCCACGAATCAGATGAATCGTGGTATGATCGTACAACAAGGAGGGGTTAAAACTTTAATCCCTTTGGCCATTAAAGATGGTAATACAAAAGAAGGAATGAATTTCGCCACTCAAGCTTTAGCTAAAATTGCTATTACGATGGATCCAAATTTGGCATTTAGAGGTGAAAGATCTTCGGATCTTGTACGTCCTTTGCTTAATTTATGTCAAGGAGAAGATGAATTAAGTCAATTTGAATCGTTGATGGCGTTAACTAACTTGGGTAGTGTGGAAAACGATATTAGAATGCGTATTTATGATTCAAAGGGAATTCCAATCATTGAAAATTTACAATTTTCAGAAAATACCTTGGTTCGTAGAGCGGCGACAGAATGTTTATGTAATATGATGTTTTGTGAACCAGTATATGAACTGTATAGTGATGTTAATAAAATTACTATTCTGGTTGCTTTATCCGATGTTGAAGATTTTGAAACGAGAAGGGCTGCTTCGGGTGCTCTGGCCATACTCTCAACCGACCCTAATGTTTGTACAATGATTCTGGATCGACCAAAAGGAATTCAAATCCTTAAAGATTTATTTAATGAAAACTCTCCTGAAATTCAACATCGGGCTATTGAATGTTTTAAAAATATTGCCGGTTCGGATAAAGATAAGGCGGAATTATTGGTTAAAGCTGAAGTGCACAAACGTATGTTAGAATTGGTTAAAGAAAGTAAGGTGGAATCAGTTGTAGTCACGTGCGCGGAAGCATTAAAAATTCTCTCAAACTACGGTTTATTAAACATTTAATCTTTTTAAAATAACAAAATTTACTATTTAAGTTGACTTTTTTTTTTTGCGATATGTAATAAATTTCAATTTTAATACATTTAAAAATATTATTTTATTTTATTGATATGAGTATGAATTTATTTAGCGCGTTTAATTAGAATGACGTTCGTAAATCCGATACGACTATATTTCGAGGAGAAATGAAAAAAAAACGAAACCGGAAAAAAAAAAAAAACTTTTTACTAAATTCAATTATTAATTATCATACCAAGTAAAAAAAGAATGTGTTATGAAACGTTGTAAAATAATTCGTTGTTGAATGTCCATTTTTTTTTTTTTTTAAAAAAAAAAATTGTTTAAGAAAGGTGTTTAATTTAACACGGCTGAAATTGACATGATATCGTACTTTTTCGGATTTTTGTGAAATTCCTGGCTGCTAATTCAGGTAAAATAATGTTATTTAAAAAAGTAAGATATTTTAATAAAATTTGTTTAATGAAATTTCTTAATACCTTGCATTTTCAATTGCTAAATTTGCAAGTTGTTCCAATGCAGTGCCGTGGTAAATAGTTGATTCCGGTAACGATACAGGCGTATAGGTTGATGTCAATAGGGAAACTTGATTTTGAGTCATTGAAAATTCAAAGAATGTCGAACAATCGTTCCGAGCCAGAGTTTTAGGATTATCTAGATAATTTCTATAATAATCCATTTGATGCTCGGAGACTTTATGATGGTCAAATGATATTTTAACTTTGCCCGGCTTTTTAAAATGCGCTATTTTTTATTTTTTATCATAGGAAATAAACGTGTTGAATTTCTTTTTTCTTAATCTCATCAAAAATGAATAAATTAATTTAATTACCGTTTTTAGAAATGTTAAAAGAGTGAACTGCTTTAATTCGCTTTCTTGACCTTGGAGAACAACATGAGTCAGAAACCATTCGATCACGTTTTTTTGACAAGGAAGAGTAATAACGATTTTTGATTAGATTAGCTGGTCGTCGTAACAGTTGGCTCATCATTGCCCATTTTGTTCCCATTTCAGAGTAGTAGGTCAAAATCTGTTCGTCTTCTTCGGGAGTTAGGGGTCCGTAAATTACTTTATTCGTGCAATTAAATAAATGAAAGAAATTTAATTTCTGTTACAGAAATTAGATCGAAAGGAACCGAGTCTCTCTTACGTTCTGGGTTGAGATGATTATGCCATCTTTTAATTTAGGAAGATGCAAGTATTAATACAAATTCGGTAAAAGGTGTATGGATTAAATTTTAAAAATAAAGATACCGTTCGCGACATTGTTTTCCATCTCTTAATCCGTGTTTGATTCCAATTAACTTCCAATGTTTCACACCCAATTCTGCTACAATTGCCAATAACCGCTCATCTTCCTGTAAAAAAAAAATATTCGACTGAATAATTTATTTCCCATTTTAAGCTTTAAAAAAAATATTTCACAAACCTCAATCTCCCATGGACCCGTCCTGCGGGAATTTTTGCTTTGAGATACAAGTTGATTTCTCCGCGTCTTTTTTTGAGCAATCATTATTATATTATTGAGTAAGGGGGGAAAATATAGGGAAAGTATCAAGGTAAATAAAAAATGAAGGAATGTGGTATGGAAAGCATAGGTTTCCAAAAAAAAAAAAAAAAAAAAAAAAAAGTTAAGGCAGGGTAATGAAAGGTTTTGGCTTTTTGTTTCAAAAGAATTGGGTGATGATAATTTATAAAGACAAGCTACAAGAAAAGGGGTTATATATGTTTAAATGAGTTTCGATACAAACATTGATTGAATGAATGATTATTGTTAACACTTTATATATACGATCCCTCCGTTTTAAAGGTCTTTGAACTTTTATTATTGTTGTTACCTTTGTTATGAAATTCATGCTTGGTACCTTTTTTTTATGCAATAAAATAATTTTCCCTCGGATCACTAAACATTTTTCTTTTTAAACAAGTACAATTTGGTAGTCTTTCTTTTAGTGAATTTTTTTACATTGTTGATACCTGAATGGCGAAGGGCAATTTGGAAAAAGGAGGTTAAACAATGTAATTTCAGATTGTTGTATTCGTGGCGCAGTTACTTTTGTTGAAAAGCGAGTATCACGTTTATCTGAGGCAGATAAAGTTAAGTTGTTTAAGACGGGAAGTTATAATTCACTCCATTGTTCACTTTTTTAAAAAAAAGATAATAATAAAAAAGATTTAAGCTTATTTTAAATGTTAAATCCTTGAACCAACCATTTTTACACAAAAAAAACATGAATACTATACTATCATTGTGGCGTAGCAAACAATTTTATATAATAAATAGGTTTTGTTGGAAAATATCGAAAAAAAAATATTATTAATCTCTTCACGTGATTTTATCAAGCAATTTTATAAAACTCTATTATTTTATACATTTTATTACCAAACTTATTATAGTTAGACAAATAAAAGGCACGTGGATAATCATTTGATAATCTATTGAACTGGTCTTGAAACCGGTCTTTAGAATCGGTCTATCGATCCGATATTTAAATATTAATCAGAGCATTTGTCTAACCCATTTCATTTGCAAATTTTAAAGAATGATGACATCCACTTCTTTACATATGGACAAAGATGCGGAACGTTTATATTACGAGTTATGTTATCGAAAAGCAGCAAGGTTTGTAAACTACTTATTTCAATACGTATCAAATTTCTTAAATCATAATTTCCTTACAGCATTCAATCCAAATTAATTTATATAAACAAACCTTTTTGTTTTTATTTTAACCCTTTAAAGGCGAATTGCATGGTCAACACAGAATATAGTTGCATGGTCACCACCTTCTTATAATAATTTAGATACCAGATTTTCACGCTTTTCCCCAAGTATCGGAGCCTTCAGTCCATGTAGAACTACTTCTCTTGATGCCAATGGTCCCGCTTGGTCTTTTACAAATAATGATAATTTATTTCCTTTTGATCGTGTAGAAAGCCATCACAGATTCGGAGATGATATTACAGATTTAGTATGGAACCAGACAGGTTCTGCACTAGCATCCATAGACCAAAGAGGTAAAATAGCGATATGGACCATGAATAATTATGTGAACCGGTGGAAATGCATTTGTAATGTCAACCTAGGAGAAAATGTGATTGAATTTATGTGGCTAGATAGTGCACGATTGGTTAGTTAATTAATTATTCTTTTTTTTGCGTTATTCTATTAATGTATTACTTACTAATCTCATTTCATCACCATATAGTATTCACGTGTTTCTAAGGCGCGTTCAGCCGAGTCGCCTTATAAACGAGGTTCATTTAAAGGTCCTCGGAATCAATTTGGCGAATTCGCTTTTATAACTGTCACGACTGATGGAAAGGTAAGATTTGTTGTGTATTATGTATTATAATAAATTTTTCTAGGTTCAAATGTTTACAGATCTATAATACATTTTGTTTAATTATTTAGGTAGCTGTTTGGTACCAGAAAGGAAAGAAATTTTTTTCTAAAATTATATCCCACTTGCGCTATCCTTCAAAACGAATATCTCATGCTGATATAGTGCTTAGCGGTAACTATAAATCATTATATTCAATACGTTGGATTTTAAAAATGATACCCATAAACTTACAAATTTTCTTTACTTTTAGATGGAAATTATATCTTGGCTACATACAGTCCTGAATTTCTGCCAAAACTAGTCATGTTTTACGAAATCAAAATTGACATGCTCTCTTTACAAGTTGGTTGTCAGCCTATCGCTAATATTCATCTTGCTACTCCGATTAGTGACCCCCCTTTATTCATTGAACGATCTCAAGTATTGCACTTGAAACTAATATCAAACTCGCAGTCTCATGGAATCCGACTTATAATTATAACAGCCGAGAAAGCAGGTTAATATAATATAAATAAATATATATTTTTTTTTTAATTTACACGTCACGGGTAATTGTATCGATATAAGATTAAGGAATAAAAAATTACCTTTAGTACGTTCGTGATATCACGGTAATTTTTTCCCATTATAACGATATTTTATAAATATTCCATAATAATGCGTTTAATCAAAAAATATATACATACGTATATATTTATGTTTCATTTTTTTATTATTCGATTCGCAGGGTCTAACGTTTTCAATAGCAGCATTGCTATGTGGGAAATTAATAAATCCACACCACCAATTGAATCTCCAGAAACCGCAATGAAAATTGATATACCACCACCGGTATGCTTTAATGATATTTAAATTAGTACTCTAATGTTGTATCTTATACAATCTTTTTTTTTTTTTAGAATGTTCAATTCATCGTTTGCGAACAATTGGATCATAAGTTGGTAACGAATATTTGGATACAAGAAAACGAACTCTTCCTTGGTTTTAGTGATGGTCAAGTTCAGTTTCGTCACTAGTAAGGGTATCATTCATGTTAAAAAAAAAAAAAAAAAAAAAAAAATTTTTTGTTCGTATCTTTTTTAATAAATTTTTTTTTTTGTTAGCGACACTTTAAAAATCCTTCCAGAAGAAAGACATGTTAGCATAAAATATTTTCAAGATTACAATTTTCCAAAATACAGTACTTGGGTTCCTTCAAATTATACGGCTTGTACAGACGGTAAAAAAATTCATGTTCATTTTTTAAATATTTAAACTTTTTTTTTTAACTTGATTTTTTCGATTTAAATTAGCAATAATTGAATTCGCAACTTCACCGAACGGAACGTTACTTCTTTGCAGAAGGGCTTCCGATAAACTTGATTGTTTAGACATAGCTGACGCATTGGATCAAAACATCGACTTGCTAGGTAATCATTATCTGTCCATATATGTTTGTTACATGCTAATCATTAATTCATTTTTCTACTTTAAATAAATATTATTAAAAGCCAGGATTTGTGTTGCTTCATCTTGTGCAAATAAACTGACATTATCAATATTAAATAATATTGACCATACGGATTTAGAGAATATAATAAAGAAATTTTCCGGTGATCAAGATGATCAAGATGATCAAGAAGGTATATATATACATTGAGTAACGTTTATTTATTAAGTTGCGGTGGTTAACATAAATCTTATTGTTTTCAATAATTAGGTGTATTTAAACTTATTCTCAAAGAAACTTTTACAAATTTATCGAGCGTTTTTCCGGATGGATTGGAAACAACAGCTTCTTCAGATTTTCTAAGCAGGCTGTTTGGGATACAACTATCATTACTAAAATCTTGTCGACGGGATAATATTACTTATTTAAATACATTATACTTTATGCACTTACGTGCTTTAGAAAAAATATTTCAAAATAACGTTTCTTCTGATGGTACCTTTTCTCTAGGTAAACCAATAAAATTTTATATAAGATATGTCCCATAACTATCTATTTTATCTTTAATAATAGCTTATAACTTAACAACTACTGATTTTTAGATTCCCTTCAGTCACTTTTATCTCTTACTTCCTGGGTTATGGATTTTTCAGTTTATTTTATTAAAGATACGTATTTACTATTCTTTACAATGAAACCGGGAAGAGATCTATGTAAGGTTATGATATACTTTTTGTAATTCATTATGATACTAGGTATAATTATAAGCAAGATATAAATTTATTGATTTATTTTAGCATCAGAAAAGTCTCATATCATCCTTCTTTATAATTTGATAAGTCGCACGGCTTTTAAGAATTTGCTATCTCTTGTTGGGAAATTTAAGGAACACGTTAATTCATTAGCGGCAAATAGTCCCCTTGATTTTCAAGATATGAATAGAACTCTTCAGTATTCATTTGAATCCTGGCCGCTTAAATTAGAATCATTAGAATCATTTATAAATGAGGCCGGATCTATTATTGATAAATCAATGAAAGGTAATAATAATAAAGAAATTCTTTAACAAGCTGTGTGATATCATTTTTTAATTAATAGCTGTCCTTGATTTTTTTCAGAGATATCTGATCCGCAATTGACCAAATATGAAATATTTTTCGATTCTAAACTTCAAAAATCATTGCATGGAACCCTTCGGGAATTGGAACAAATATTTATAAATAATATCACTACAGATGATAACGTTAATTTATATGTTTATGACACTAAATGGATCTCTTCAGAATCTGTCGATATAATTTTAAAATCACGTACGATTAAAGATCGTGTATGTACAAGGTAAGAAAATAATGAATGCTTTTTTACCCATTTATGTATAAAATTCGAACCTAAATTCATCATCATTATTATTTGTAGATGTGGTCATTATTCAACGAAACCTGATATGCAAAGTACACGATGGGCGAGAAGTTATACTAGATCTTGTGTTTGTGGTGGGCTTTGGATATATATTAAAGAGAAATAGAAAATTTTATTTTATTTATGGATATATTTTAAAATCTATTTAAATTTGTAATCAACATTATTAATAGACCCGATTAAAAATTTTTGAAGCAACTTCAATAATACTTTATTAAAATCAATTGACTAGCAAGTAACATAATAATACACATCTTATGATGAAATTATCTAAATCTATAATGATCAATATTTCTCTCGTTTTACCTTGATGAAGCTGATACATCATTTCATGTATAATGATATGCAGTATAATAGATTTTGAAATGAAAGATTAATAAAATCATTAAATTCTTATACTAATATTATTAGAATATAATAATAATTTGTGATTAATGTTTAAGTCATAATATCTGTGATTAATTATAAATTTTGTACAGATAATTTTTATTTATTTATTTATTTTCTGATAATTTATAATTCTTTTATGTAACTTTTTAAAAAAAAATTGTTTCAATAGATATATATAATAGATTATTATTAATTAGAATTCTGAACAGATTAGGTAATTGACTGGACCTGACCTGATAAGGTCAGGTTGGGTCAGATACTAAATTAAATATATATTTGACCTGATCTGACCTGATCTGTCTAAAAAAGGAAACTAAACAATTATTAATTTTGTTTAATATTTTTTTAAAAAAATATAAAAAAATATTGATACATTTTTACATTTGATTATTTTTCAAAAAAAAAAAAGATACTAATATAATTATTTTAATTGCAGATGCAATAAATCTGCAAATCTGATAACTGCTAATACAATTACAAAAAACGTTCATAACTTTACAACCATTAATCGAATCATAATAAAATTTTCTAGACACATATTTTTGAACCCGCTAAACAACTTTACTTACGTGACCAAAGTTGATTTCTTTTGACCAAAATACTTAAATTGCTCTTTGAAGTCACTGTATAAATAAAAAATAAAAATAAAAAATTTGTGAGATAATATAATTACGAAAAACGTGCATAACTTTATAATCATTAATTCAATTATAATAAAATTTATAAGCACATATTTTTGAACTTGCTAAACAACTTTACTTATATGACCAAAGTTGATTTCCTTTGACCAAAATACTTAAAATTACTTTTTGAAGTCACTGTACAAATAAAAAATAAAAATAAAAAATTTTGTGAGATAATACAATTGCATAACTTTACAACTATTAATTTAATTATAATAAAATTTTATATGCACAAATTTTCAAACCCGCTGAACTAAATTTACTTATACAACCAAAGTTGATCTTTGACCAAAATGCTTAAATTGCTCTTTTGAAATTACTAAATAAATAAAAAAAATAAAAATATTTTATGAGATAATACAATCATGAAAAATATTTATAACTTTATAACTATTAATCCAATTATAATAAAAATTTATATACACATATTTTCAAACCCATTGAGCAATATTACTTATGCGATAAAAGTCAACTAATTTCTTTTGACCAAAGTATTCAAATATCTCTTTGAAGTAATTGAACAGATAAAAAAAATTAAAATTAATTTGTTAAACAATATAATTGAAAAATATTTTTAATTTAAAATTTAACTTTTGATTATAATTAAAAATTGACATCATAATTAAGAAGTTGCAACTTGAGTTACAACTTGGTTGCAACTTCTTGTAAATTTATTTTAATATAAAAATTCATAAAATGTTGCAACTCAAAGTGTTGTAATTTAAGTTGCAACTAGTTA